ATCGATAGTTATATCAGACGGATAAAATCTCTCTACTCTGTTGTTTCGAGTTCAGTTTCTGGAAAAAATTCAATATCGAGTGATTTTTTCTATGATAAATTTTATACGAACATAAATCAAATTTAATCAGATCCCAGAATAAACATCGAGTTTACATCCAATTAAATTGTTCCCAACCACTAATTAGAGTCTCATCATGAAGATTACTTTTAACCCTCTTGTTGTTGTGTGAGTTGATGTTAATTTCTTGATTAATAATAGGGATTTGATCATTATGATTAAGATTAACATAATCTTGTTCTTCCATAAATAAGTTTTCATCACTTATTGCCTCCATTTTAGTGACATTTTCCATAGAAATTCCACCTTGATTTATAATTGATTTTGATGGTTCCCTTGTTATTGTTGGTGCAATTGGTCTCCGATCGAACGCTCGAAAACTTCCCGATATAACGTAAATTCGACATAAACTCATTTCATGCCTTAACTGCAATAAACGAATGACAAAATTAGCTCATCAAATTATAACATGTCTTAACTCGTATAAGGTTGAGTAAATTACGATCTATTGATTTATCAATTCAGCTTTGACCTGTCAAATTTATCTCATTCAAAAATTGAGCTTATTTAAATAAAGTACATAGCCTAAATAATTATACACATGAAAAAACAATATTGTTAAAACATTATATATATATATATATATATATATATATATATAAAATAGAGTTTAAAACTTAATTTGTTAAATAATTAAATAAATCATAAGAAAAAAAGGATATTTATAAAAGTTAGGGGTTGGGGTGTAATATTAAAAAAAGGGATAATTATAAAAGTTGGGGTGTAATATATAACCACCATGAATGTTTATTCCATTTGAAATTAATATTTTTTTTATTATAAAGATTAGTTTGCAATAATATATCCATAATAAGATTACAAGTATCTTAATTGAAGATAATAGAAAAGAATTAGTTCCCTTTTCAAATACTTTAACACAACAATAATGTATATTTCGTTATAATTATTCACAGGTAAAATCTAGAGTCTAAAAATAACAGCATATATATAGATTTTACTTTTATTCCTGTTGCTTCGACTTAAGAAAATCATTTTCTTTTGCTAAATAAATTTAAAAAAGATACGAGAGATATCGAAAAAAAAAGAAAAGTAGTAATGATAGTAAAATATAATATTACCTTTGGAATAGCAAGAGTTGAATTAACTTCTTCTTGAATAGCTCTATATTCATTCATTTTCCACTTAGTTTTTTTACCAGTTGGTGCTTTTCCTTTATAAAATACCATACTTTTTTTAACTCCAATAACTTTATTATTTGATGAATAAACATAACTTGGTGAACCAGTTGCCTTCCAATAACCACAATTTGTTGTTCTACATGGTCTTCCTCCTCTAGCTTCTCTTTCTTGTCTTGGCACAAAGAAAAACCATTGCTCTCTATCTCCCATGCACAATTCCCCATGAAATTCTACATAAAAAAACAAAACGTTACACGTCGTTTAACTTCTGTGCACTGACAGTATAGAAAAACAAAAGTTTGTCGCATAATCAAGGCATTTATAATAAGATATTTCTATCTGTCTCAATTTATATGATACAGTCGAACATGTTTATACAACCAATGTCTTTTGTTCAGATATAGTGTTACAGATATATGTTGTTATTGTAACTGGTTTCAAGAAAAAATTTTGTGTTTGATTTTAAACTACTAATTATTTTTTCTCAAATTTCGTGCTAAGTCGAGTATTCAGAGAAGAGTTTAAATCTCTATACTGTTAAATTAAACAGTAACATATTAAATTACATTGACGATATTATTCGTGTATATAACTTAAATTCAAAATTGTAACCATATATGAAAAATTGGTTTATTAAAATGGTGATCAAGAATGAAGATAGAAGAAGATAATTCGTGTACGTACTTAGGTCGAAAATACATGCCACATAAATTGAGACAAATGAAACACTAATCACAAGTAAATATCTTTTTTCTACAATAAGAACTAACTTGATATAAACCCTATCGATACATATAACTTAAACTTCAGAATTATAATCATGAAATATGTGAAGATGAAGAAATGAACTTGTATACTTAAAAGATAGTCACATAAGTCAAAACAGAATGAAATATTAATAAATAATTTCGATAAAAACGATAATTAAATTGAGTATAACATGTTAAACTATACTGATAATATCGAAGTTATACGTACTTGGAAGATGCCAAGGATCAAAATCATAAATAGTAACAACTGGAATTACTCTATCAAGCTCTGGCTTTTTTCCTTCAAGCTTTTTATGTAAATAAAAAGATATTAATTCTTCTTCTGTTGGATAAAATCTAAATCCTGGTGAAATAATTTCCACCATTTTAATCCTTTTTTTTTTCTTTGAAATTAAAAAATAAAAATCTACTTTTTTTTCTTTCTTGTTTTTTTTTTTTTTTTTGCATTTGCTATATATTTATAGTAATTGTTCCACAAAATGGGACAATAGAGTTAACGTGTGAATTGAGAAATTTTATTTTTATTTGATTGAAAAGTTTCCACACGGTTTTAATTAGTTGTCCCAATAATAATATTTAGGTTTAGTTGTATCTTTTTTTTAATCTCATTAATAATCATTTCTTATTTTGAACAAGTCAAATTTTGTTTTTTATTATTATTTTTTCTGTTTTTTTTCAAGTGATGTCTCAATCAAGTCTTTTTCTTTTGTTTTTTGTACTTTCAAGTATTTTTTTTGGAATCTAAAATAAAGATGTATGGTTCATAAAGTTAATTAATTTTAATTCTACGAAATATTTTCCTTCATATCAAATATGCTTAAAACACATTATTTTACGTGTATAAACATTTATTTAAATTTTTTAAACTCAAAAAGAGTATGGACTCTTCTATTTTTATTTTTTTAAGAATTCGAAAATATATCACCGATTTAACAATTATCTTATTAAATATTTTTCCCATATGGTAATGTAACTAGTTCATTTAAACCAAACCAATCATAATTCCAATATAGAACATTTTATTTTTTTTATTTCTTTAAGTGTGTCGATTGAGACTTTAAGAGGATTAAAAAAATATTATAGAAAGCTAAAGTGGAAATAAAATTGATTTAATTATCTATTTGTTTCACTCACATATACTTATACCATCATGGATTGTATTATCGTGATCAAACTATTTCACCTTTATATGAGATTTCTGCTCGAATCTTGAATATGGAAAAATTCTTGTTGAGAGCGTCATCCCCAAATAGGTCATGCAATATGTGATTCAGACGGTTTAATGCACTAAACTTCAACTAATCTATATCATAACGCGTTGATAAATATAAATTCCGCATATATATTATACCAATTTTACTTATAAAACTATACAAAATATGTTATCGTTATTATTTTTAATACTTGATACCTTAGTCCTTACTAATAGGACACATAAAAATACCAATGGTGGAGAAAACACTATATTAGGACAGCTCATTCAAGGGTGTTTACTTGTCTTTGCTATGCACACACACGTCACAAAATCGATAAACAAAACAACGACAGTTGGATGCATAAAGAATCATACTTTAAATTAAAAATAAAATTTCACTTGGAATGTTTTATTATTTACCACTAATTCTATTTGTTATTATATGTAACCATCTAAAATTATTAAGTGATTTGATATTTCACTTGGAATGTTTTATTATTTACCACTAATTCTATTTGTTATTATATGTAACCATCTAAAATTATTAAGTGATTTGATGTAGTGTTAAAGTATTTACACAATTAGTTAGTATATAAAAAGTAAATGAATTTAATTAAGAATTCAAACTTCTAAATGCCAACCATGTAAAAGAACTTTTGCCCTAAATTAATACTTTTTCTCTTTAATAATAGTTGTCATTATTAACTTAACACATATTTTTAAAAACAATAAATAATAGAGGTGATATTATTATATTACATATATTATATATTTAATTGTATTTAATAATTAATACAAATGGTAAAATTCATACAACATAGAAAATAATTTGTAAGTAGAACAAATAATATTGAATAATTATTTTTACTATAATGAACAAATAAAGATAAACGAAAAGAATAATAGAAGATATCTCTTCATAAAAGATTGTACTATATTTATATTTGTAGACATGTAAAAATAATAAATATTATATACTTTAATGTTTGGTTTAAAAAATAAAGTAGTTAAAGTTACATTTTTTTTCTTAGGACCGACATCATCATCATTGTACAATATTTTATTGGAGTAATTTGCTGGAGATCAATTGGTAATGTATATGGATTCACTTTAGTATTTTTCTCAATTTTAGTTTTACTTTATCTAAATTTATTGTATATTCTGAAGTTATGTTAAAAACATTATAAATTTTAATAACTTAAAATTTGACTATATATTTTAAAAATATCATGCACTTAAACGGTATATAATAGTCGAACAACATCGAACACATCACGATAGTTAATTTAAAATATTTATAAAAAATATCTCAAACTCTCGAAATTCTATCAATGACACTGGAACATGAAGAGTAACGTACTATTTGAAGAGTGCATATAAATTATAACAATCACAATTATTGTTAATGATTTCAAATATTTAAAAGTCATACTAAGAGATTTGATTGACTCTTCAAATTTTATTTATATCACGTAACGGAACAAATAACATTATTGTATTAAATTTAAAGTCAAGAAATATATTTGTGTGGGAGAAGTTTTGCTTTTTATATGAATCATGGAACGAAATTGCATAAAATTGCATGTTTGACGGTCTATAATATTTGCCTTGTAACAATAAAACTTATGTCTAATCGGCCATAAGTTCTTTCGAAACTAAAAAACATATTCGAACCTGATTAGTAAAATATTATGATAAGAAAATATAAATTTTCATTGGCTTCGCTTTGATTCGTTACGACCAAAAAGAAAAAAACAGTGTAAATGACACACGAAATGGTCACAAATCATTTTTGTTGCTCCTTTTATTAATGGACATATCAACCACTTCCAACTATGAAATAACAAAACTCAAAGGCTGTATGCAAATTTCATTAAACAAAGTAGGAACAAGTGAATAGGAGGAACAAACGGATAAAAACAAATGGAGTTGGATTATTCCACTTTATATCACAAGATTATTTTTAGAAACATACGTAATACAATTGAAACAAATCCAACTGTTACAAGTAGTTTTATTATTCATTTAATAGTGACCAAAAGGTGGAGGATTTCCATACCCTGGTGAGCTTTGGGGTGGACTTGGTGGAGGTTTGTAGACAGGGGTAGGTGGTGGGCTTGGTGGAGGAGGCGGTGGGCTTGATGGGGGTTTATAGACGGGAGTAGGTGGTGGGCTTGGTGAAGGGGGTGGTGGGCTTGGTGGAGAAGGTGGTGGACTTGATGGAGGTTTGTAAACAGGAGGAGGCGGGGGTGGACTTGGTGGAGGAGGAGGTGGACTTGGTGGAGGTGGAGGCGGTGAACTTGGTGGAGGTTTATAAACAGGAGGAGGCGGGGGTGGACTTGGTGGAGGCTTATAAACTGGAGGAGACGGTGACGGACTTGATGGAGGAGGCGGTGGACTTGATGGAGGTGGAGGCGGTGAATTTGGTGGAGGTTTGTATACAGGAGGAGGCGGGGGTGGACTTGGTGGAGGTGGAGGCGGTGGACTTGGTGGAGGTGGAGGCGGTGAACTTGGTGGAGGTTTATATACAGGAGGAGGCGGGGGTGGACTTGGTGGAGGAGGCGGGGGTGGACTTGGTGGAGGTGGAAGCGGTGGACTTGGTGGAGGTTTGTATATAGGAGGAGGCGGGGGTGGACTTGGTGGAGGTGGAGGCGGTGGACTTGGTGGAGGTGGAGGCGGTGAACTTGGTGGAGGTTTGTATATAGGAGGAGGCGGGGGTGGACTTGGTGGAGGTGGAGGCGGTGAACTTGGTGGAGGTTTATAAACAGGAGGAGGCGGGGGTGGACTTGGTGGAGGAGGCGGTGGACTTGGTGGAGGTTTATAAACTGGAGGAGACGGTGGTGGACTTGATGGAGGAGGCGGTGGACTTGGTGGAGGTGGAGGCGGTGAACTTGGTGGAGGTTTGTATACAGGAGGAGGCGGGGGTGGACTTGGTGGAGGTGGAGGCGGTGAACTTGGTGGAGGTTTATAAACAGGAGGAGGCGGGGGTGGACTTGGTGGAGGAGGCGGTGGACTTGGTGGAGGTTTATAAACTGGAGGAGACGGTGGTGGACTTGATGGAGGAGGCGGTGGACTTGGTGGAGGTGGAGGTTTGAATACAGGAGGAGGCGGGGGTGGACTTGGTGGAGGTTTGTATACAGGAGGAGGCGGGGGTGGACTTGGTGGAGGTGGAGGCGGTGGAGGTTTGTATACAGGAGGAGGCGGTGGACTTGGTGGAGGTGGAGGTGGTGGACTTGGTGGAGGTGGAGGCGGTGAACTTGGTGGAGGTTTGTATACAGGAGGAGGCGGGGGTGGACTTGGTGGAGGAGGTGGGGGTGGACTTGGTGCAGGTGGAGGCGGTGGAGGTTTGTATACATGAGGAGGTGGTGGACTTGGTGGAGGTGGAGACGGTGAACTTGGTGGAGGTTTGTATACAGGAGGAGGCGGGGGTGGACTTGGTGGAGGAGGTGGGGGTGGACTTGGTGCAGGTGGAGGCGGTGGAGGTTTGTATACATGAGGAGGCGGTGGACTTGGTGGAGGTGGAGGCGGTGAACTTGGTGGAGGTTTGTATACAGGAGGAGGCGGGGGTGGACTTGGTGGAGGTGGAGGCGGTGGACTTGGTGGAGGTTTGTATACAGGAGGAGGCAGGGGTGGACTTGGTGAAGGTTTGTATATAGGAGGAGGCGGGGGTGGACTTGGTGGAGGTGGAGGCGGTGGACTTGGTGGAGGTTTGTATACAGGAGGAGGTGGGGGTGGACTTGGTGGAGGTGGAGGCGGTGGACTTGGTGGAGGTTTGTATATAGGAGGAGGCGGGGGTGGACTTGGTGGAGGTGGAGGCGGTGGAGTTGGTGGAGGTTTTTATGCAGGAGGAGGCAGGGGTGGACTTGGTGAAGGTTGGTGTATAGGAGGAGGCGGAGGTGGACTTGGTGGAGGTGGAGGCGGTGGAGTTGGTGGAGGTTGGTATACAGGAGGAGGTGGGGGTGGACTTGGTGGAGGTGGAGGCGGTGGACTTGGTGGAGGTTTGTATATAGGAGGAGGCGGGGGTGGACTTGGTGGAGGTGGAGGCGGTGAACTTGGTGGAGGTTTGTATACAGGAGGAGGCGGGGGTGGACTTGGTGGAGGTGGAGGCGGTGAACTTGGTGGAGGTTTGTATATAGGAGGAGGCGGGGGTGGACTTAGTGGAGGTGGAGGCGGTGAACTTGGTGGAGGTTTATAAACAGGAGGATGCGGTGATGGACTTGGTGGAGGTGGAGGCGGTGAACTTGGTGGAGGTTTATAAACAGGAGGAGGCGGGGGTGGACTTGGTGGAGAAGGCGGTGGACTTGGTGGAGGTGGCGGTGGACTTGGTGGAGGTGGAGGCGGTGAACTTGGTGGAGATTTATAAACGGGAGTAGGTGGTGGGCTTGATGGAGGTGGGTAAGTAGGAGGTGTTTGAACAGGTGGTGGAGATGCAGGAGGAGGTTGGTCATACGCTGAACTTGGTAGATGTTTCAACAGTGATGTCCTATAGACCTTTGGTTGATGATGCTTTTCATAAGACACTTTCTGAAAGGGCCTATATGTTTGATAAGGATATTTAGGTACCTCAGGAGGTTTTCTCTGTGGACTTGAAGAAGTCTCGTAGATAGACAATAAAGGTTCTTTAGGTGTGTATACATATGCAGGCTTAGTATACACTCGAACAGATGTTCTACCTACTTGCGAATTCTTTGAAACATCTCCATTTAAAAGAAGCTCTTGCGCTCCAACAACAGAGAAAAACAACACAAGAAAAAATAGAAAAACACGAAAATGCTTGTTAAACATAGTCAATGAGTTTTTCATTGTATGAAAGTTAATAGTCATAGAGGTGAGCTCTAATGTATTAACATTTCTTCACAATATATGACTTTGATTGAACATAGAAATCGATATGGTAGGTCCGAGCTTTTATACTAGAAAACTTGAGAGAACTATTATCAGATACGAATTCGTGTCAAGACGAGGGAGGTTTTAGCATTGGATTTTTCTGCATGTTCTTAAGTTTTTTGAAGACTAATGTCAAGTTTTCATGGTGGGAAAAGTAACTTTGAAAAAAAATTCCTTGTAGTAATGAAAGAGTTAATAAGTTAGTTAGTTGGAGATAAGATGGTAATAAAGATATTCACCTATTTTTGGCTTGGAATTACTACTATTTTAGCTTTTTGTAGAGTTGTAAAGCTTTTGAAGTTTCTTGAATAAAGTAAAAATAAAGTATAAAAATTAAGGTTGACAATTTCTTAAATTGAATTGTTACATTTTTAAATCATAGGAAGTATAATAAATAGTCATTTATTTGATTTCAAGATGATTAAATGATACTTTGAAAACCTTAATTAAAAGATTATTTTGTTTCATTTGAATTTGATTCACAAATCCTAGTTTGGAGCTTATCAAGTGTAGTTACTACTTAATATGAAGCTTTACATTATATATGACATATTTTTCAATTTTAGTTTATTTCAAAAAAAAATATTCTCTGTGCAGAAATAATTTAATTTTAAATATATTACTTCATTTTTAACAAGATAATTTATGATTACATATACATTTATGACTTGTATAATTTGTAAATTTCGAAAGTATTTTTTTTTAAAAAAATATCTGAAATTAATATGAAAACATGGAGCTTAAGGTTAGTTAGGGAGGTAAGAAGTTGGTAATTTAAGTTATTAATAACATTCTGTTTGGAGATAAATATTTTGTTGTAATCTAACATGAATTTTTTTAGGGTTAGTTAGGGAGATAAGAAGCTAGTAATCTTAAGTTATTAATATCATTCTGTTTGGAGATAGATTTAGCAAATTATTTAAAATTAACTTTTTTTTGTGTACTATCTTGTCAGCTAGAAGTCTTTTATTTTCATCGAGTTTTTGGTATTACTGTGTTTTTGTCTCTTTCAATTGCAAGTTCCAAACGCATTTACTCAAAATTTCTTTTCATTTGTACCGAACCGCTTGCGAAAATTAATGAATTTCCATTTCATTGTTGCACATAACATTTTTATCCCATTCTCTTTCTTATAATTGCCCACATCTTTCACCTATTAAAAAAAATTGAATTTAGCGATGGATAAATTTATAGCTAAATAGTAAAATTAATTGATGATCTTACTTAGTGATGAATTAGCAATAAAAAAAATTTTAGCTACAAATAAAATAACAACAGACCAGCAAAGAAATTTATTACTAATTATATTGTGTTTTTTATGAAAAAAATGCATAAGTATCCCCCTCCAAATCTATGTCCGAAATCTCTGAAACACACTTATATTATACTATAGTTCTATTTCTGCCTGAACTTATTTTATAAAAAATTGTTTATCCCTTTTCGATCTACATGGCACTAGCTTGAAAAAAAATATCAACGCGCGCTGGGCCCACAAGATAGTGTCACGTAGGCTGAAAAGGGATATAAAACTATTTATAAAATAAGTTCAAGAGACAATAGGACCTTAGTATAGTATAAGTGTGTCTCTAAAATTTTGAACATAGATTGAGGGGTACTCGTGCATTTTCCATATTCTCTAAATTCAATTAGTGATCTTTTATTGTTCAACAAGTTAAATAATTTTTTACTTTTCATTAAGTTATACATTAAATTTTATTGTTCTCCATGTTCTTTCCTACCTACTCTATATTTAATTTTATTTATTTTTTAATTCAACTTTTCATGAGATAAAACAAACATGTCATCTTTTCAATTATTTTATTTTTCTTCATAAGCTTTTAAAATATATATTTCCACCATGTCTTCACTAGAATTATTTTTTGCTCTTCTTTTTTTTTTTCCTAGGTTTGTTTTGAATTCATATATACCATGTTTAGAAATTAATATAATATACAATTTTATGATATACATATGATTTATTTTCTGTCATGAAAATATAAAAAAATAAGTATTTTGATGTATGCAGCAAGTATTTGGGATATACATGTATAATATAATGATATTTGTTAATCTAATATTATGAAGTAAATTATTTTTTTGGCTATCAAACTGTCAATATTTCACAATATCCTAACATGAACTATGAAGAAGAAATTAAATTATGAAAACAAAGGGTAGATAAAAAGTTCATTTGAACAGACAAAAAATGTAGTAGTAATAGAATTAATTTACAGGCTTCAAAAAGGTACATAGAAATTACAAAACTGGGAGAAAAGAAATAAACTAGAATTACATAAAAACAAACTTGAAACTCATTTCAATCAACTAACTTCTAAATCAATTATCAAACCAAAATATATCAAAAGAAAATAAGCAAAAAAAATTAGTTTACTTTGGTGTTTCTATCTTTACAGAGCATATGCCATTCTTGAATAATAGCTGCTTGAAGTGCTCGATGCTCGGCTTCTTCTGCTGTCAACTTGAATAAAGTAGTTGGTCCCTTAGTTTTACCACCTTCAACGTTAAGTATGTCATCGTTCTTATTGTTATCATCGTCTTCTTCTTCTTCCTCCTCTTCTTCATCCTCGGATTTTGGAGACTTTGGGCGAGGTCTTGCAGCCTTTAGTAAGGCTATTCGTTCCATTGAAATCTTTAGATTTTCAGCAGCAGTTACCTTCACTTCATCTTCAGGCATGTATTCAACACCGCCATCAGTTAGGTCATCCAACCAACCCTGAAAATCTGAAGCAATCTCCTTGGTAATGGATTCGTCTGATGCTCGGATAACAAATTTGCACATCATTGTGGTTGTCTCGTCGCCAAGGTCCACATTTCTGCTCACTTCACTTGCACCAAAAACCATCATGCCTAAAAACCCTCCGTACCAGGTTTTAGCAGCAAAACAGAGCTGTTCAATACCAAACAGCAATGAGATAAAGAAAATATGGAATATATTGAATTTGAACAATTATAAATTCAGACAATAAGTTACCCCCACCCCAAACTATTGTCATTTTGCGAGTTTTATATCTGAACTATTGGGTGTTCCTATTATCCCCTGGCCTATTGCTTCCTTTATATTAAAAAAATCACTGGTTGAATATGGGCAAAATGTTTGGCATAACTTGTTGAGAGGTGTGTGGGAGATGATTGGAATATTGAGTTCACGGTAGTTTAGGGGGATCGGTGAACACTCAATAGTTTATGTATGGAACATGCAAAACGGTGACAGTTTAGGGGTTCCCAATAGTTCATATGTAAAATGCCCAATCAGAAGTGCCTGAAAACTTAAAGATGACTTCTAAATCCAACATAGTAAAACTCTTTCAAAAGAGAATCAGAAGACCAAAAAAACTCTTCAGAAAGAAGTTACTGACCTCAAATCCAGCAACTGTACGGATGATGTGCGAGCAAACTCGATGGAAAGGTTTGGACGACAGTGATTTCAGGCCACTTAGAAATGGAGACTCCCCATATTGCTGAGCAGCAGTGGCCATGAATCCACTTCCTTCATATGTATAGGTGCCAGTACACTCAACTATTGCAGGTAAACTAGGCCATAGACGAAAATATTCAACTGGTGAAATTTTGTGTGGCAAAAGAAGCTCGGTCAGAGGAATTTTGTATGGCTGACATCTCAAAATGACAGGTTCCCCTAATTCAGGTCTCATGCTTTTCTTTTGTCTCATAACTTGTGGATCCTCTTCAGAGTCTTCATAATCAGAAGGACCAGAACCATAGAAAGGATAGTAAAGTACTTGAACCCAAAGGTCACAACGCTCAAAATGGGAAACACCCACAGTAACACTGGTGAGTACTGGTTCCTGGATTCATGCAAGTCCAGTCAATTATCAGTCATGACTGAAGAGGAAGCTATCAATGTCAAGAGTACCACAAATGAACATTTGGGTCCAAGATTCAATGTATACGGATAATGAATGAAAAATATAAACGGTTATTCAAAATCAAGCAACTCTTTAGAGCCAAACGAAATAAGCATAAAAGGTTTCAGGTACATCAGAAAGATCCCGTCCCTATCCCCCCTACCCCCTACCCACCCAATCTTTTGGCCCAATCGAAGGTAGGGAACTGCCTTGTAAAAAAGAGGCGATGTTGGTCCGAAAAACCTGGAACAACCAATACAAGTTTCTACACTATTTTGTATTTTCAATATGGGAAATGAAATTTTAAGACTTGAAACAAGTCATTGGGATCTCTAACCATTACATATTTCTTCTTCCTTCTCAAATGTCAAGCTAAAATATAGAGGTGTAACCACAACAGACATGCAAGAGACAATCTAGGCTTATAATTGTATTTGTATAGTATCTGAAAACACGAATTATGGTTTTTTCAATGTTGATAAGTGGTGAATATGGTAAAAAAGAAAAAAGATTAGAAACCTCAGACAACAACAAAAAGATTCATGAACCTTGACTTCTATCTTAGCGTGCCAATTATCAATTAACAACTGACACTACAGCATGCCATCTGTAGTAACCTAAAATAAGATAGTTAAATAGGCATGATTCCTCTAAAACAAATGGAACTTTTTACATGAGAAAACTCACCCAATTCACATGATACTAGAGCATGCAGAGATCTTAGGTTTGATTCTCCCCATCCTATAGCCTAAAAGGATTTTATGTACTTGGTCTACGCAAAAAGATTGTCCCATGTGTGATGAGGCATAGTGAAGATTTAATTAAGTAAATAATATTGTCATCTTTCAAGCCATTTAAATTGCTAAATAGTACTATGTTGCTTGGACTCTCCAAAAACTCAGTTGCGCCTGTGTCGGATTCTCAAAAAATGCAATAATTTTGACGAATCTGATACGCACCCAGTGACATTTTGGAAGAGTCTTGACTGTCTGAGCAACATAGAAACAATATGTTACACGCAATTCAATTACTACTTCAATGATCCAAATCACTAATGTTGTAATGTCTGTTCCAGGAAAAACTGTACTAATTTTATCAAGTTAGCATTTGACAGTAACCATAGTCATAATACATTTTTAGACAAAAGTCACATGAGAAGATGCATCTAGAAGGTGGACAAAAAATAGTAATAATAATGAGCAAAATAGTTTTGCCTTCTGTTAGCAGAAGAATCAAACATTGGTTAACCTGTGAATTAAGATTCCGCAGCTGGCGTACGGCTTGAGGAGATCCATCCATGAAATACAATCCACCAGAAAGTCCAACTCTTAAATCCACCCGGTTAAGTTCTATCTCGGTCAAATTCAAAACCTGCAAACACTAT